TCAAGTGTTTGATGATCTGAGGCTGGATTTGAACTCAGGTCCTCCTGACTTCAGGGCCAGTGCTCTATCCACTGCGCCACCTAGCTGCCCCATGATTTTTTCTTTGTGGGTCCTAAACTTGGAACAGTAAACTTAGAATCAGGGGATCTGAATTTTCCTCCTGCCTTTGCCACCATGTCGCTATGTGACAAATGCAGCCCTTTGACTGAATCCAGACTTCACAGAACAAATCCCATTAAGAAAAGGATTTGTTCTGTAAAACTTGGACTCAGTGTAAAGGTCGCACCAAAGGACTTAGAAGGCCACGTGTGGCCTCAAGGCCACAGGTTGCCCACCCCTGTATCTAGATCTATAACTCTTTCCTTGAAGAAAAATGGATGATCCTCCTATTTCTTTCAGTCTTAGACAACTAAGTTGCCTGGGTCAAATGAGAGGTTAAATGAACTTCCCCTAATCACAAAGCCAGGATGGTTTAGAAGCATGCTCAGGTCTTCTTGAAGCCAAGAACCAACTATCCAGCTTCTGTCTTTCATTATTTACCTACCTATTTGCTTAAATAAATATAGGATGTTTTATATAATTTAAAAATTTCTTGACCCATTGTCATTAGCATGGAGATCCATTTTTGTGCTTTTAAAATATATAGTCATGTGTATGGAATATTCTTACTCAATATCAGGTTGTTCACTCTTAATTCTACTATTTTGCCCTACCTCCTTCTACTTCTTAAGGGATGAAAAATTAAATGGCCAAATTCAAGAATTTTCTATTCAAATGGAATTTGAAAATATATCAGTGAGTGACTAATTCAACTGAAAATACCAGAGACAAAAGACGTAAAGTGGTTTGTCCATGGTAACATAGCTGGTCAGGAACTAGAACCGTGTCTTCTGGCTGTAACTCCCATACTTTTTTCTTTATCCCAGGCTGAGTAAAGCTTAAAAGAGCACATTAAGTGACTTTAGTTACTTTAGTGGCTTTGTGACAGCTAATTTAGCAGGATAAAGAAGACCATAGGCCTTTTTCAATTACTTTGGGGTTTGGGGTATGTTCCAGTGGATTGAGGTTTTGGAAGTCTTGCCACTGGCTAAGTGGCATGTTATCATAATTCAATCCAGATTTTCCCAGGGCATGAGTTATTCTCTCATTGTGGTTAGACTCCCTAGAAGTTGAATGAACTCTTCAAGGCCACTAAGGTACTAATTAGTTACTACTGCAGTGAATTAAATAGTATCACAGTGTAGTGTACTACTTGGAAGTGTTCCTAACGCTCCCAAAGGAAACTAAGTCAATTCCTAGAAAGTGTCATTTTACATAGTGGTAGAATTTGACTCACAGCTTCCCAGGTGTTTAGAGCTTTAAATGAATTTTAATTTTAGGGTTAAAAAGTCCCTTTCATTTCCACTTTTTTTTTTGCAGGGATAAAATTTACTATAGCATTTCTTTGATAGGAAGAAGATGCAGTGGATGATTGGTACTTTAAAAGATAAAGGTTGAATACATTTCTGTGTTGTGGACATCAAGGAAAACATTTTGATGAAGCCTCTGCTGTGATAGTCCCAGATCAGCAAATCCGTGATATTTTTTATATCTGTTGACAAGATGTACAAGTTTTATAAGGATTTATGACTGTAGATATGTCAGTGTCCTGAAAAGATTGAGGGAATATCTTTAGGAAAGACTAAAACAGAAAGTAGTCCTGTTAAGGACTTAATTCCTATTAAGTAATCTGTAAAAGGCAAAATTACACTTGCACATGCTGCAGCTTTCCAAGTGAAGCGGTATGGGTAGGGAGACAGAGCATGGTTTAGTGGTTGAAGTTCTGGGCTTGGATGTTGAAATATTCATTTCTGACATTTACTATCAGTATAACCATGGACAAGAAACTTAGTCTCTCTGAGCCTCAGTTTCCCCATTTGAAAAATTACAATGATAAAATCTCTATCAATATCTCACATTGATATTGGGGCAATTGAATAAGGATAATGAATAACAACCATTATATAAATTTCAACTATAATTTTAAGAACATTTAAGAACTTTTTAAAGGTGCTTTACATGCTCTTAGGAAAAATAAAATTTATTAAATTCAATAGTTTTATAAAAAATCCAAGAATTTGGTTCTACAAATACCATTTTGTTTGCCAATAAGTATTTGACTTAAGTAAAGCTTTTCCTGAATGTAAAGAAAATCTTCCTAATAACCACTAATTATTTTTGATATTTGTAAATTTTTTAAAACTAGAATACCATTATTTGGATGTTTTCAATTTGGATCTTTTCTTTGAGGTAGTTTTTTTTATGGAAAGAGTGAGGTAGCTTTTTTATGGAAAGAATGTGTGCATGAGTGTGAGTCTGTGCATTTGTGTGCATGTATGTGTGTCTCAGAAGGGGGCGTGGGCAGATGGTGATAATTCCTAGAATTTATGGTTGTCATTGGGTGCCATAGCAACCAGAAGTTAGAGTTAATGAAATAGAGGAGAACCTTTGTAGAGCTTCACAAACCAATACCTCCTGCAGTGTTCACTACCTTTATTTGGATTGAACACTTCTCGTAATAAATCATTTTTATAAATAAGTCCAGGTCTAAAATAAATTCATCTTAGCAACAGGACT